TTCATCATTGCACCACCAGAGGGAGCTGCCTGAATGCCTTTGAAAGACTTCATGAATAATTTAAATCTAAAAAAAAACAACAAAAAAACAGTCCCACCTTTGAAATCTTATTGCCTAGAAAAGGGGATGCAGCCCTGACAGAATGAAAGAGAAACTGAAAGACTGCTGTACAGCACAATGCCTGAAATCTTCATCTTTTTAATCACAGCCAATCTTGTACAGTCTGGTACAACTGTACAAAATAAGCTTTGTTGATTTAATCAAACAAAGCAGTTTTGAATTAGGGAGTTTAGGTCAGCTATTGAGATCCACAGTTTGACCCTGGTGGACTGAGGTTTGAGAAGAAAAGGCAAACTAGATGTTAATACTTAGCTAAAACCACCAGCGATATATGGTAAGGCCCAGGATAGATCTTTAATTTTGTAAAAAAAAAAAAAAAAAAAAAAAAAAAAAAAAAAAAAGTGTCCATTAGTACAATAATAAGGTTCTGCCTCTTTAAAACCAGACACTCAATTGTAGGATTCATTCATTTTCAAGTTGTCTCCTTTTTTTTTTTTTTTAAGTAGTTATTTCTATCCCAGTACTGCTCTGTTTTCCAATACCCTCGTTTACTACAGAGGGTCTCTGATTTTCTCCCAGATACATCCAGTGCTTTTCCATTACACATATTTTCATCCATCCTGACACACATGCTGCGTGTATGGCAATGCAGAAATGTGTCTGTATTTTACATTAAATTTGGAGTTCAAAGCTGTTCTTGGGTGAAGACTTGCCTTGCACTCTTCAGACTGGACTGAGCTATAAGATTCTCTAGAAGGGAAAAGCCAAAGTAACCTCTTTAACTTAATCCCTAGCTGCTGATCTGTGAGCTCCAGAAAGATTGGGCATGGGAGGCTCAGGTATGATCTTGTTCAGTTCTCAGACTGGCACTTCTTAAGCAAAACATGCATTCACAAAGCTATAGCTGAGCTGGTCACTAGTGCAGCACGCATGGCACACAGTCTGCTGTACATTGCCTTAAGGGACAAACACAGTCAAAGTTCCATGCTATTTAAACCTGAGAATCTCAGCCCAACTCCCAGACTCATTTTTTCAGACACTGGGCATGTTAGTCCAAAGTCATTCTTTGTCTGATTTGCAAAACTTTAAATAGGACACAGCCCTCATATAGTGTCAGTGTATGACACTTATAATTTATTCAACAGTGAGTGGAAATGAGAAATCTACACTAACATGGCTCCATGTAGCTCTCTGCTATTATGCTCATCAGTGAAGACCTAGTCAAAGCAGTCACTGGATTCTAAGGAGATCTTTGGTTCCATCCTACCAGTCATTTTTCCACATAAATATCTAAATTCACACATCTTAGTCTTTGAACCTTAGACTGTGAGCAGAATCCCTTTCTCCTCCTTCAGCGCTTTAAAAAGGACAGCTTTCTGGAACATAAGTTCAGGAAATTACAGTGTTAAAGAGATGCAGAAACTAACCCAGCCTCTGAAATTTCACCTGTTTTGACACTTCATACTGGTCTATGTTCAAACAGAAGAGAGTTTATTTTATTTTTTCCCTTGCAACTGAAACATTCTCATTATTTGAATACAACAGATAAACAGCTGGAGCAAAGATCTGAATTGTGTACTTTCCTAGAACTGGGCAAGCATTTGTGACATAAGATGAGGTAATCTTGCTCATGAAGTGAGTATGGTAACACATCAGCTTTTCTCACATGGACAAGCACTTGTTAAAGATGCGAAGTAAAAAGGAGATCCACTGTACTAGAAATTCAAATTTCATTCCTCTTTGTAAGGGATCTAGCCTTTACTAGAAATGCATTTCAGACAAATCTACTTTCATAGATAGTCTGGGAAGTCAGGAAATTGAAAACATCCCATTTAGTTGAACAAGTAGTTACAACTTGATGAAACAAGAATAACTGCATTCCTGATACTGGCCAGCTATCCAAATCTTTGTGCTTCCAGACCTTGTTTTGAGATGGGTAGCAGCTGAGAGGAGTACCTCTCAATGTGGGGACAGTGCAGTTTCCCTCAGAGAATACATTTCCTGGCTCATCAAAGAGTAGGAAAATTGGGTTGGAGCTGAGATAGGCACCCAGCAGAGCTTGGGTGTTTTACTATCTGAAAAATTAGCTTCCAGGCAAACACATATATCTCCTTCCACCCACTCACACCACTGAGAGATTCACCCTGGGCAGTGGTCAGAACACAACTCTTCTGTTGCTGCTTTCTTCCAGGTGTGCCCTCACAAAGGGTAGCTCTGCAGTGATATGCAGGGTCCAGCCATTGAAGGCTGCCATTCTGGCACAATGTGAACATCTCTGCAGAGTGAAGGAACGTGTCCCAGAGACTTCTCAGAAAATATTTGGCATAGTCTACATCTTAATTGACTCCAGAATGGAAAAGGCAGCACAAGTGAAATGTCTCCATCTACAAATACCTAAATTCAAATCCAATTACAGAAGAAGGAGGAGAAAAGTAAGGAGAGCTTTTTTCTTAGGTTCCAGAGCCAAGATCTGGGTGTTTTTGAAGTCATCCTACAAGGAAGAAAAGAAAAGGCTGAAGCTTACTGTGACCTAAATAAAGCAAAAGAATTAGGTACTTGTGATCAAAGGGTTGAATGATGCATATACACATCTCTCTAAATAATAGAGTGGGTGGGAGAAATGACATGTCATTATTCCTCAGAAATGAAGAAAATTACCTGTTCTGAAAAGAGGAGTTAATCTGTTTTTACACAGTGAAGAATAATGCCACATTATTTCTTCTAAAATTAGCAGCTGACAAGCTGAGACTACAGTGCTCAGAGCATCTGGCTCTCTGGCACCACACTTATAAGCTTCACTTATCACAGTGAAGCTTTCCTTCTTTCCTGTACGAGCTTCATAAAGATTGGAGAGGAGCAGCCATTATGACACAGGCCTACATCCATTCAGCTCCACGTATGTCTAAGACACTTCAGAGTTTCTTTCTTTCTTTGAGAAACAAGGTGCAGAAAACCTGACATTAACATTTGAAAAATAACCTGGTGAGTTACCATACAGGCAAGATTTTTCCATCCAGCTGTACCTTTGTTAGTTGTCTTCTTTCAAGCCAGAATCAAATGTATGACTGATTATAAAATACAGTGTGATTTCCAGAGTCCAAGATAAGCAGCAAAAGAGTGAATTCTGAAAGCTGAAGTCAGACTTGTCTAAGTAAATAAGAGGCTTGTTTTCTCCTTTTTCAAACTTTAAGGCTTCAGATACCAAATAACTGAGTACGTAACTACAGCAATGGCTGAACCATTCTCTTGATAAGATAATGGCTATATTTTATCGCATGAATGCATAGGAACAGCATAGAGACTTCTCAAAACTGCTCTGCTGAGGAACTGCTCTGTTTGCTGTTCAGATTTAGAGTGACAGCATGTAGGGCTCAGCATTCATAAAGAGGTTTAGGAGACTGAAAACCTAAGAACTGATTTCCATTGGACTAAGTAGACCAAAATCACAGAGCTTATTTATCCTCTAGCAAATTTCCAATTACGTAGCATTTCAACTGAATAACCAAACTTTCCTAACTCTTCTTTAATAATGCATGATGATATTCATGCCAATTCATGCATGCAGAACTCCCTAGCAGCAGATTGAAAAGAAAATAAGTTCTACTTCCTCACCCACTCACATGAGAGAAGTGGTTGGGTGATATTTTTGCTTTGATGATATTTTCTGCTTTGGTGATATTTAGGCCTGGGAGAGATACAAAAGGCATGTCTTCAACTCCCTGTACCCATAAGCTTTTGCTGAGGGTAAAGGTACTGCATTAGGAAAGAAGGGTATCACCTCCATCTTATCTACCAATGACTCCCAGAGTTGAGAATCTGTTTTTCTCAAGTCGGGAAAGCGTGGCCTCAGTTAATAAGTCCCACTCACTGTAGGCTTCAGCAGCCCTCAGATTGACAAGGAGAGATGAGCTGAGCTGAACTGAACAAGGGAGGTTCTGAGACAGCCTTTCCCTCTGATAAGGCAAAACTGTCATGAGATGCTGCTCAACAAGCTGCAACCAACGAACTGTGTTGTTTATGCATGAAGGCACCATATCAGTCAACAGATGACTAAGGTAAACTCATGATCTGAAAAAGTACAATTTTTATATAGCTCAGGAATCTTAAAGGCAAAACTGGCAATCCAGATGCAGAAGAAAAGTTGACTATGTTTATCACTACAGTGTCTTATCTGATTAACTTAAGCAAAAATTATAACCAAGACTGCCAACAGTTTTTCTTCTTTTACCTGATAGTAATAATGTGAGAATTATATCAGGCTCATTTATTTACATTCACTTTAAATGGTTTCAATTCATGCGCAATCAGTTCTCAGTAGTTCAACACTAGCAGGTTTAGTTGTGAAGTACAGTTAGATAAATGCTCTCCTCATCCCTCACCTCCATGCTTGTTTATCAACAGGAAAGCCAAACAGCTAACAAACAGCTCCATGAGTACAGATAACACAACTGTGTAAGCAGAAAAAAAAAATGGGACTGTCCACGTGAAAGTATGTAAGCCTCCTTTTTCAGTGCATGAAGTGAAACTAACTTCTAAGATTCCTCTTCTGAAGGGTGACACAATTACGCTGGCCAAATACACAAGGGCAACTTTCCATCACTGCCTCTTTACAAAGCATGGAATGAATAACTTCCTTGAGAAAGCAGGAAAATTGGGATAAAGCATGGTTTTAATTATATTCATAATGATTTATTTGAAAATATGTTCTCATTATACTATCCATTGTGAGGCACAAGCAATTTGGTTCCACCTGAATTTAAAGTCATTATTATAATTATTCTCACCAGAACAGCCATTAATCACATAAACAATACCTGGCTTGCAGAAAATACGTGGGTAAGTGGCTATATTATGATTTAGCATTAATTTTCTTACATTCTTAAAGTCTTACTTGAATACTTATTTTCTATGAAAATGCTTTTGAAAAAAAGGTATCTTACCTTCAGACTGATGCGTGGCAAGAGGTGTCTGGGTCTCCTTGGAATATGACACCACCTCCCGAGGTAAGAAATCAACCTGGGTAATCTTTGACACCCCTAGTTTGTGCAGTCTGCGTCTAAGATGGAACACAGGACATAAAAGGTTAGTTCAGTTAGGTGTAAGTCAGTAGCAGGAGCAAAAGTGTTTGCTTTTATGAACAGGATTAAAAAATACTTCAATGTTTGCTAAGATGAAACACAACACACTATGTATGAAAAGAACCTAATTACAGTGAGGAAAATTAATCCAGGAATCACTTGCCATAATAAAATACAGTTACTAAAACCTCTCTGGGTCTAGGTTATGCTGCTGAGAGGAACTGTACATAGGAGCAAGGTACAACCTGCTTGCGTCCCTCACAACACACAACAAACCTTTCTCCTCCTTCACACAGTTATTACTACAACATTCAGCCTGTTCAAGAGATTCATTCCTCAGCCTGAGATAATCAACAGTGGAAGAGCCACAGTAGGTGTAAAATATGCTGAACTGTAAGAGAGCAGGGTGCATAATTTCCTTAAAGAGATTCTCCTTTCCACAGGGGTTAATAGCAGTGGACTTGCTGTAGGTTCATGATCATTAGAGTCCTAATGCAATGGTTAAAGTGGAGCCCTGAGACACACCTGGAACAGACAGAACCTTCTCTTTGTACTACGCCCCTAACTTTAAATGAGCCATGTGAACTAAGTCAGTAGAGCCAACCAACACTGGAGCTGGGTAAGGGAAAATGGAGAGAAATGGCTGTGCAGGATTACAAACACTTTTAGTTGTACACAGTTCACCCAAAAGAGGAGGGAAAAAAAATTATCAATTTGTTTCCTGAATATTATTTGACTGTAGTGAGTGAAAAATAAGCAAATAAGCAAAGATGTCAATTTTTTTTTACTGGAAAAAAAAACACACCAACTTTCAGCAGGAAATATATATATGCAAATAATAAACGGATGAGCTAAATAAGTCCAGGTGCCTCAATCAACATGTGCAAGTGTGCTTACACATTTACAGGAAATAAATTCAGAGACACAATGTTTCTGAACTGCCACATTGTTAAGGAGAGCAATTTGGAAAAGCAGAAAATTCATATGCATTATCCATTTCCTCTCTGTCTTCCTGACTGTCGGAAGAACAGAGGTCAAACTTATTTTTTATCTCATCCATTTACAGCCGTTAAGGTATTCAGTTAACACTGATGTCTGAAAGAAAATGAGTATTGAAAAAAAACTGTCATCATTGGATGACACCTACTGAACTCTTATGCTTGTTAAGGCTGAATCAGCTATATATCTTTCTAATCTGTTCTACTGGCTGAGTTTTTATTAAGCTGAATGCAATTTGATTCAGTGGGTAATCAGTATGAATCAGCCACATTAAATAATAGACCACTGGAGCAGTAATGGTTGTTACAGCTCTGAACCTCTTTTTTTCACTATCCTCACAAACACCTCTAACTTTGCCAACGTGGATAAGAGCATGGATTCCCTGAAAACTCTCTAGGAGGCAGAAAACTTCTGTAGCTTGTGATACACTTTAAGAACCTGCAACAGCTAACAAAAGCAACAGTAGTACACTTATAGCTAATTTAAATGAGAGTACGCATGAATTTAAGCTTTAATAAATATCTTCCCCAGAAAAATCTTACATGCTTTTCCATCCTTCGACATCAAGTTTGAAAGATTTTCCTTCACAATCAGTCCTCAATCATCTCAATCTGATTCCTTCTACTGAGATTCTTAAGCCTCCTTCATTGAAAGAGCTTCTGTTAAGTATCAGCTTTAATTAATCATGTGTCTAATCTAGAGCTAATCAGAACCTCGCCTGATTCTAACAACAGTTTCACCTGAGGCCATTCCATATCTCTTTCACTGGTTAGGGATGGGAGAATATCAGTCCTCATGTAGAGGCGGATTTAACTGCTTGTTGGGTTAGCTCCTGTCTAGACTGCTAAGAAGTGAGCTACCACCCAGAGCACTGTGCTTGGATGTGTTTAATTTTTCACCTAAAACATTTATTATTCAGGAACTGCTGATGGTTGTCTAAATGCATAGTGTCACTCTAACCGATTAAGACTGTGAAGTCTTCATTAGAAGGAATATGGTCTTCCTTTTTTTGACCCTGCTAATCAACCTGTAATGGTCCTTATGTGATGAAAAGCCAACCTAAACCTTGGTCCCAAGCACTTAGGGACAACTGAAACATCCTTTCAGTACACAGGCTCTGCCAAATATGAGCTATAATAATCTAGTCTAATCCCTTTTACGGCAGCACTAAAATGTTTCATTTCCCATACATACCAAGACACTCATAATTCTTTTCATTTACAATTTCTTGGATATGCAGCTTATAGAGCACACAAACTCTGATGCGTTTCTTTCGAAACTGTGTATGGGATGTCAGTGGGAAAACAGTAATTAAAGCCTATGCATTAAAATTGATTCCTCTGTCTGTAGGAGAAGAAAGATGTCAAGTGTTTAGCTACACACATCATTTGCATCCTGACTGCAGGATTTCTTTCATGATGGTGTTTTTATCTAGTCTCACAGCCATATACCAGAGAAATACATGGTCCTCTGTCTAACTCTGTCTTGTAGAAGACAAAGGACTTACGAAGCATGCTCATGGGTTCACTCATTGGCATTGTCCTTTTCTGTCTTTACTGCTCCTAAAAGACTGAAGACTTGCGGTCTTCTAAGCACAGGCTTATCTTTATGAGAATCAAACCATCTTGCCTTGCACAGCCATTTGAGGACTTTTGCTTCTGAGAGTGCTCATCTTTCAATCCCAGCTTCTGGGGAGGGCAGCTGAGATTTCAAAAAGGTTTCCAACACATCAAAACCGCTTTAGAAACTCTTCCCCTCTTGTATGAATCAGGTGATGTTGTAGAAGTTAGATCTACCTGATATCACACTCAGGTGGAAATAAATGCATTCCTAACCATTCTGGATGTGGAGAAAGCCTATTTAGAAAGCACTCTGGACTCTTTCCTTTCCTGGTAAACAGCACTAACATCTCTAACTGCAGGTGGGAGCACTGTCACTTAATCGTTAAAGGAAAACTGTTTTTTTTCTTGAAGCCTAGAGAATGGTGAATGAATTTCACATGAATTGCTGGGGAGAAAACACAAAGAACTTGCAGAAGAATAAGATACTTGCTTGGAAACTCAGACAGGAAAGCCCATCTGTTCATAGACAAAACAATTTATTCAGTGCAGAGATTTGGTTTTGCTTATGAGTCAAGTTCTGAAGAATTTGAAGGACAGTTACCTTTCCTTTTCAGAGGAATAATTTATCCTAAATATCTCTGCAGGTGGGCATTTCATGTCTTCGGGTCTTGCTATTTTTCCTTTACTATTTATTTTCTCTTCTTTGCTGCCTCTTATGTTGAAAATACAGCATCCAATTTTCTCATTTAGAAGAGACTGTAAAATTCAGTCTGAGATGGTAGTGAGCAGCATTTTCACTTGCCAACGCACTCTGATAACTTCAATGACCACAAAGAATTCAGTAACTTATTAAAGCTTTTTTTTTGTTGTTGTTACCAAGCCATGACTATGTACTTGGAGCTTCAGCAATAGCACGGTGCTGATGTTAGATCTGGAGATACTATTTAGAAAAGCCATTGTTTCTGATTTTCCTTGATTGCTCGCAGGAGATAAGAGAGAACCCCTTCATGCTGTCAGACCTCTCTTGATGATGCTAAACTATATTCATGACAAACATGAACTTCTTTTCCTTAATTTAGTGACCTTTTGAAATATAAACATATTTGTTACTCTTCTTAATTGCACTAGTTATATTCTGCTACCTAAACAACTTTTTCAGATGGTTAAGATAGAGAAGTTCCATGTCAAACTGGTGAATATTAATTTTAGCCCTATTATAATTAGGTAATGCTCGACTGACCTGAACTCAACTTAAATGGCAATTAGTGGACTATGATCATATTTAAGTATACAATTATAAATGCCTAGACAGCTCCTGAGGAAAAGGGGAAAATTGTTATTGCATGTGGGTTATTGCACGTGGAAACAACATAACTACAACAAAAACAAGAAGGAAGGGGGGAAAGTACCTTGCAAATGATTCAGAAAGAGAAGTCTGAATCAATAGGTACAAACAAGACCACTGTAGCTGTACATGCACATTAAAGTGCCACAATAATAACATTTCATCTGTAATGAAATAGTTATTTGTATTGTGTTTCGGGCAACAGAAATAGCAGCTTATCTTTCATGAGCTTCTTTAAGTAGTAGTTTTTTTCCACAAAGATGGCTTTGCTGAAGCTTCTTACTGATGAAACTGAAAAAAGGAAACTTAAATTATGGTCTTTCTGAGTCAACAAAGCAAATGAAAATCACATACAAACAGCTCATCTGGGAAGCATTCGCAACATAACTCTTGCAAAGAAATGATAAATGAATAACATAAAGAGCAGACATATACCCAAGTTCAGAGTCAGACTGGAGCTGCAGCACTGAGGGGTCTGTGTCCCATTGCAAGGTCCTAGGGTGGTAATCAGCCGTGCAGCACAAGGGGGGAAAAAAAGAACACATAGAATTAACTGAAAGGATGAACAAAACCGCATCTCATTACTTACATGCCGTATGTCGTACATTCACTCTCTAAGTGCAAGGTCTGGTGTTAGCCTGTAACGGCCTGTAAGGTCTGATGTTAGCGGGCAACTTATTAAAATTGCATATTATCAGTAAACAGTGAGATCTGGGTTTCCTCTCAGATATAGGTTAATGATTTTGTTTTTCCTGAAAACCCTCTAACTATGGCTGATGCACTCAATACGCACAGTTTACAAATTTACAATTTTACAATTTGCAAAATTAACTGTGATCATGTTTGTATGATAAGATGGATTTGCCATAAATTCCACTGAAGAGTAAGCAGTCTAGCCCTTCTTATAGTCCTAGGACTGGAAAAAGTGCTCTGGGCACAAACATCCTACAACAAAGAACATGCTGACATCAGCTTTGCCACATTCTGGAGGCACCTGGGACAAATCAACAAATTCCTCTTAATCCAGATCAAAATTATGGAGAAGAGGGGAGCAGCACACCTGGGGAAATCTGCTTTTAACAGTGTCATCACAGTCTACTGTCACATGGATCTAACACACATAATATGAGTGCTCCAGAGATGCGGTCTCAAGTGAAGATGTTGTTCCTTGCAATGCAATGCAACTTGTCAAGCTACATCTCTTAAACACTGCAAACGCTCACGGGGCTTTTATGGAGTCCTATTAAATATTTCCAATCCCTGGTTTAGAAATGCAAAAATTGACATGTTCAAATCAACATTTTCAAAATGCCTGCCCATTTCTTGATTTTACTTTATTCTTCCTCCCTAATGAAGCCACATCTAATAGATAAGAGAGCTGTCAGAATCCATGACAGCATCAGAAGTACAAGTTCGGCTCCTGAACACCTTTTCCTTTCATATGAGCACTGAATTATGCAATGTTCTCGCTAGTAGAGGCTAAAGAAAAGGAAAGCACTCTTCCACTAAAACAAATAAATCATACAGGCACGTTAGGTAACATCAGTCCTCAAAATTTAAAACTCCACTCATTTCTTTTCAATGCAAGTTTTGAGGATACAGAGAATATACTTTGACCACACTCAGACAAGAACAGCCACATATCCAACCAGGCTCAATTCACACAGAGCCTTTCTGCAACAATAGCAAATTCCGACAGTGAATCATTCACATAAACTAACAAGTTATTTAATTAGACTAGAAATAGATTTCTTAAAACCATACAATTACGCTGTCCTATATTCAATAAACTATTACCAATGTTAATGATAAATCTCTCCAGACATCCTGCATGTACAAAAAGAATGAAGAACTTTCACATGAAACTGCTTTCCCATGCAATGCAAGGGTGCTTATTCCCCTCAAGTTCTTTTGATCTGTAGTGATGTGTATTGGTTCAAAAGACTACAGCAATACAGAAAGTTTCTCCAAAATGAATTATTATTATTCTATTATAAAACACTATTATACACTATTATAAAATGATCAGAGATAAAACAATAGTAAGAAAGAACAGACTTTTTTTTTTCCTCATTACTTGATTGTAGCTCAAGTACAACGGAAATGAAAGTGGTCACAGGGATCTGAAGGCAGACAAGGCAAAAGCATCAGTGGTTAATGTAGTACCTATACACTATTAAAAGGCTATCTGTGGGAGAATGACTTACAATGGAACCAAGGTCAGCAATGCCTAAGAGGACTTGCTATGCATATGCCCATTTCCACTGTAATATCTACCCAGGGGCTACTTGTACACGCACATCTGGGTTTTCAAAACGCTTACAAGAAAACATACATAACTCATTTCAGTTCTTTTTCCTCTTCATTTATTTCCAAACGTACAAAATTTCCCAAGAGGTAAAGACTATTCCAAAAGAAAAACTATTATCGTGTGATTAAAACAGGAACAACAGGTCTTTAAAGAGCTAGAACCCTTATATTCCAATTCTGAGAATCCAGACCCGTTACAAGAGAGCATATTTATCTCATACTGAGCCGGTTATCTAAATTTAGAGATCTTACACTATCAGCACTCAGATCCCCAAAATATGAGAAAAGCAATACCTTTTGATGGAATTCTACATGTAAAAAAGTTCATTTGACCCCACAGCCACCTTTTAGCCACTGTTTGTTTTATGCTGATCATACATGTAGTGAAGGCAACATCTCTTACAATTTAATAATCTGGATTATGGCATGGAGATGTTCATGATATTGATATATATTTTAAATGACAATTCTGCTTGTCTCCTGAATATACCTGTATTTCAGCAATTTGAGTGCATCTGTAAAAGGAAAATTCTTAGATTTGTGCTCCAAATGGTAATTGTTTATCCAGCAACACTGTGCTACTGCTTGCAAAGGCCTGAAAAACACATAAGGGAGCAATCTGGTGCGTTGTATTCTCAAACTCAGCTGGCCACCTTTTATTGCAGACAACAAGGCTGCATGTAGCAGATCTTCAGGCTCCAGTCTTGCCCTAGGAGACACAACGCAAACAGCTACACACACACCAGGGAGGGTGGCGAGCAAAGGAAGCTACTACACATTTCAAAGGCAATACTGGTTAGCCCTTTGCCTCTTCCTGCTACCTGAAGAGTGCCTGCAGAGCAAAACAAAAGGGAGTGAACAGTGAAAACATAATAATTTAGCCAGCTCTCACAGCAATAACTAAAGAAGAAATAAACAGACTCTTAATGGACTCGTAACCGAAAGATGATGTTGACTAGCCTCTTCTGTCATCCAAACTAGGAAACTACAGCTAATCTGTTAGTGATGGGAAGACATGCTGCATGACATTCCCTGATTGTTGGGATGAGCATTACCATTATGCTTGTTCTCCTGCAGACAGTTCTCAGAGGGGATTGTGAAATGCCATTAGATCACAGTGAAAAATCGGAGCCAATCTTTTTCAAATCTAGTGCACAAGTTCTTTCCCAAGAGATTTCTTCATGAAGAAAAGCATTTCATGTTGTTCCACTTTTGATTTCCTTCCTCATAAAAGAAAATTGAAATTGGCTTTGGGACTTCTAGAGACCCAAAGAGAGGAACAGAGGGAGTAATGCAGCAGACCCCAAAGACAAGTACGTGGGCCTGTGTGACCAGTAGCTCAGCAGCCACACACAGGTGCTTTCATTCTGGACTTTTCAGAGACTGCAGACTGGGAAAAGCCCCCCTGAATAGACTTTGGCACAGATCCACGTAAATGAAATCTAAAGCATGTCGTCACAACACTTTAATGGGGAAAAGAGCCTCTGAGCATCAGACAGAGAGGAAAAAGCAGTACTCCCTTGCACATTGCAGTCTTTCCACAAATCTCCTGCAGACCATGTGAATTGAGCCTCCTGCGGGTGAAGTGAGTGCACACAGCATGGGAAGAGTCTCTGGAAACTCCACAGATGGGAACTCACTGAGCATGAGATCCAGTCAGGACTAAGCCGGATCAGGCTGTTCCATCACCCAGAAAGCACAGACATTCTTTTAATGAGAACTACCCAACATTGTTTCAAAGCTGGTTGCTATATAAGTCTCCCACACAGAGACAAACAATAGCCCTGCTATCAATCTTCCTTATACACGTCTGGTGAAGAACGGCTGCCCTTGAGTGATTGTAGGATAAAAAAACTATCACCAATTAACAGATTGGTCTAAAGCAGCACAAAGGGAATGAGGACTTGTAAATCTTGCACTAAGTAGACAAAGTACAAGAGTTATCATCTCTCTTTAAAATGATCTGCTTTCATACATTTTCCTTAGATACCTCTCTGTAACTATTCCTATTTGCTGTGTGCTATGATCTCAATAATTTAGGAGTTTAGCACAGCATTCTTAAATGCTGGTGCTATTTCAGCCATCTGTACTGAAAGGGTACCACCAGTTCATTTTCATATAGTGCATTTTCTTTCTCTCAAGCCAGTAGGAAAATAACTGCAGATAAAATCCAAGGGGAAAAAGAGACCAAGATGTCACACATCTATGAAAAGATCAGATGGTAAAGCAATTTGTTAAATCTTCTACTCTGAATTCACATCCGCAGCATTGGAAAGATATTTAGAGCAGAACTTCGAGTGGACAAGAACTATTTCAAAATTTAAGGGAGGAAGAAAAGGAATTCAAACAGAAGGATTCCCTTTTTGTACTATAATTAGAAAGGAAAAGCAGGCACTCTGCCATGTCTTACGGTTCCCTGCAGAAACTTACTTCCAGACGATTTTATTCTAATTGCATTATGCTGTTTGTATCAATTACAAATGCAGAAAAAAAACCTAAAATAAACAAACAAACGAAAGAAAATATCTGAACTCTTTCAGAAAAATCCCAGGCTCATAATGCATGAATGAAATATAAATTCTGTCATCTAAAGCTCTCTGAAATTCATGAAGACTTCTCAGCTGATAATGAAAACTTCTAATCTGGCCTTGGTGATAGTACATAAAACAAGTTAGACACCAGTGCCAACAAACGTACCTACTAAAATACCATCATAAAAGGATATTAAATATCCTGGATCACGGTCAGGCTGTGGCACAGCTCAGCTCTGCTAAGTGCCGTAATCCAGCATGCTGGAGGCTTTGTTTTAACTCTTCTTCCTCGAAGCTAAAATCAAATCCTCTCTCATCTGTTGCGGATGCTCCAGAACATGTGTTCTGCATGACTTCTTTTCTCCCCTACTTTCCCTTCTCAGGTCAAGAGCAACCAGGCCTGAAAATTCATGCTTTGAAAAAGGCTACTAGCAGAAATAACAGCAAACTCTGCTTTTTTCCAAGGGGCCTCTCGCAGGGTAGAAACCTCTCTGCTGCTTTGCAAATCACTCTTTTAAGCAGAACTGGAGGAAAGCAAACACTACATTGTGTCATCTCCTGTCACAAGCTGTTGTGCTTTCCAGACCAAGAGAAAACCACACTGACACTGTCCTGAGGTATCCACTGAACAGAGTTATTCGTATGTGTCTTAAT